AGGTCGAACAAACTTTAAGTAGCCGGGCTGCTCTGTTTGATTCGACATACACAGTTCCAGAAAATATATGGCACCAGATTTGAGGTTTTAAAAGAGACATTAACAGCAATTCTACTGGCGACAAGTGCTATTACTGATGGCACCGGCGCAGGAGACGGATTACAGCCTGCAGGGCCAGTGAGAGGGACGCTTTGCGGCCGTACATCTGGGATTGCGTTTAAGTCTCCTTAAACAATGTGCAAGAAGCCAAAACTCTTTTAATTTAAGAGCAATTAAGTGGATCAGAGCCCCGTCCCCTGCTTCCCTTTCTCTCCCTCACTGTTTTCACCCTTGTTTTATTAGCTATTTCCTCCCTTCCACCAGCGGCGTGAATGCTCACTCCCCCCCCCCAAAAAAGAGCACACTTTCTAACACTTACATTACATAAATACACATACACAAACACACACAGGAAGACCACCGGGCCGAGGAGGGACCAGGCCGCCCCGCAGAACTGAAGACGGGGGCTGAAGCGATTCGAGTGCGCCGTGTTGCTCCATTTATGGGCGGTAATTAAAAACATCCAGCGGTAATTTAATAGCGCTCACAAGCCAGAGACACAAAGTCTGCTGGCTTTGCCCTCTGAATAAATAACTTGGAATGAGATCCGTATACAGCTTATTTGTCCTTCTCCTTGCTCTTCAACATGAATATGTTTTCTTTGCCTTGTGGCCTTTCCTGACAAAGACAAACTTTAGCATTAAGAAGTCATGCATGGCTTAACAGAGCAATTAATTCAAATAATTAAGTCAATTATATGTATATTTATATATTAAAAAAATGCAAAAAAAATGTTTAGTATAAAAAAAGTTTGACATGTTTTTATATATATTAGGATATTTAAGTAGATTTGATAAATGTGCCTATGAATAAAACATTACATCTTGAGACAAAACAACGGCACTGACATTTTTTAAGATATTTCAGTGAACCTGGGGTAAAATTGATCAACGAGTTTCGGCATATAGCCGTCAAACCGTATTCACTTTATAGCCCTTAATCCTGTAATTGTGGACAAATGTGGGCATAGTGGACTCAGGTGTGATCCTAATTTTTATTTATTATAAATGTTATATCACTGTCTTCGATAAAGTTTTGTCTATCAATTTATGGTGTGTTTTTTATTTTGGGGGTATTTTTGAATTTATTTACTTCTATGTAAATATGCTTATTTTTATGTTGTTTTATTGTTATTTTTTAACTACATTAAAATATAATTCTAATAAGTTTTTAGAGTTAAAACCTAAAGATGAAGTGACTTTGCTGTCTTATTTTGGCTTATTTTAGAATGCTCTAAATTACAGTTTTTCCCATTCATTTCCAGCACATTTTTGACCCAAATACAAGATTAAGGATTTTTTTTTCACCCACTGAACATTGTAGAATTAAGTAAAAAAAAAATTGTTTGTGTTCAGGAGGTAAACTTGGGAAAAGTAGTCAAGTCTTGTACCACTCAGATCTAGGGAAGTATTTTTTAAAATAAATAAAAACTATTTTGCCCACATTTGTCCAGAATACGGTTTACAGGGTTAGCATGCCTACACGGCGGTCTTCAGGCTCGATTATTTGTTAATCACAATTATAATGCTTGCAACTTTACAGGATGGTGCTTTATTGTTCTTATATAAGCATTACGCCTGCGGCATCATATTGAGTGATGTCACAGATTTGATGTTTACTTTGCAGCTCTGCAGAGCATTGAGTAAACACACCATCAGACTGTCTCCAGCAGATATTTACAATTGCATCTCATCAGAGGAGAGTGAGAACAGGCGACGGGGGGAGATTACAACAGCCACACATGATTTCAATCTGACAGAGGTTCTCACACTCAGGAAAGACCTCATGCATATGAGCAACTATGTCTGTGCAAACTTTTGATACTGTGCAAGTTCTCCTGCTGTCGGTTTGGCACTGAACAACAACTTTCATTTAGCTATTAAAAACATATGTAGTGCAATTTCAGATATGAATATATAGTGGCATCTAATCGTCAAGGTTTGGTTTGGACAGAAAAGTTAATGTCGATAATCAATTGTAATTAGAATAAAAAAGTAGAAGAATTTATAGTGGGCTGAGATATTTGGACCACATTGTATAAGAAAATAGTTTTTTGAAAACAATTTTAATGTGCATTAATGCAATAATGTAATGCAACTATAGGGCTGTCAAACGATTAATCGCATCAAAAATAAAAAGTTTGAGTTTACATAATATATGTGGGTGCACTGTGTATAATTATTTGTATATATAAATACACACACATGCATAGACTCTCAGAAAAAAGGTACAAAAGCTGTCACTGGGGCTGTACCTTTTCAAAAGGTAAACTTTTGTCCATTTTAGGTGCTAATATGTACATTTCAGGAGCTAATATGTACATTTAAGGAGTTAATATGTACATTTTAGGTGCTAATAAGTACCACTAAGGTACCAATATGCAGCCTTTGGGTACAGAAGTGTACCTTTTGAAAAGGTACAGCCTCAGTGACAGCTTTTGTACCTTTTTTGTGTATTTAAGAAATATTTTGATGTATATACTGTATATAGATTTATATTTTATTCATATTTGTATAAATTTAAATAATATTTTTTCTTAAATATAAATGCATGTGTGTGTATTATTTATATACAAAGTAATTATACACAGCGCGCCCACATATATTATGTAAACACAAACTTTTATTTTGGATGCGATTAATTGTTTGAGAGCTTTGAATGCAACAACTGTATAATGCAATCATGTGGTACATGCTCAAAACTCATGGAAGTACCCGATTATGTGTCAAACATGTATTCTAAAAATGTTCAATGGCACATGCGCCCATATGTAAATACCATTTTTTTAAGAGTCTGTCACACTGCCTGACAAGATTGCTTGCACCAATATAAATGAATTATACAGACACATGACTTGTTGGTCACAAAGCAATTCAGTCAACATCTGACACACATAAGGTTCTTTCTTTAATAAGGGACTTTTCCTCTCTCAGAAGTGGTTAATTCAGAATGAAAGGTCCCCTTGGACAGAGACAAACTGCTTACAAGTGTCGAGGATAATGCTCCAATTATACACAGCCTGAGACACAAAGACACCGTAACACGGCCAAGAGACGACTGCTCTGGTTCCAGCTCTGTCAATGGCTTTCCCTTTGGCAAGGTCAATAAAGCATGTCGTTTTTGGAAACATAAAAATAATGCATTGCTGCAGCACTGGGTTACGGATGCAGAGTCAATGCAGTGCGCTCTAGTGATTACAGCCGATATTGCACGCAGAGGATCTTCTGAGAAGGTCCCTGTGAATTTGCAAGGGATGAATGAACCTCATGGCTGAGCATATAGCGCCTCCTGGTGGCATACAAGTAAAAGCTCAGGTTTGATCATTATAATTCCTGCAGGGTTTAGCATTGAGCAAGGGTATGATGTGACAATGTGTCAACCTTGGTTAATGCAAGGGACAGATCAAACAACAACTTATTCCTCTAGAAAAACAGATCAATACAACTCTTCAAGATTAAAATGCACTGGCAGGATGATCCACTCCACTAAAGTCATCATTCAGATCAGAGTTCATGCATTACTTTACACTCTCTCTCTAGATGTCATTCTGTCCTGAGGTCAAACTCACATATCTATAATAGCCTTCATCAGACATTCCTTATCAACCACAGCGACCCCCAAACGTATTCGGATGCTTAAATCACATTTAAAAGTATCTACGGGGAAAAAAATGTCATTGCAATGGATATAGCAAACATATCAAGTGACATTTGTCCTCAAACGCAGCAGCTTTTCTGGGACATTTTGCTTTTGCAATTCTAGTAGTCTTTTAACGAACAGAAAGTGTCTAAACACTCTTTATGATTTTAAACAAACGTTTTTTTTGTGAAATGTTTTCCTTGAAATGTGTTCTTGTGCTTTTTGTCTATAATATAAAACCAATCTGAATTTATCTAATGCAATGACATTTGTAATGTAGTTCACTTTTATAGGAGTAGTTCACTTTTTAAAAACTTTTGCTGATAATTTACTCACCCCCATGTCATCCAAGATGTCCATGTCATTCTTTCTTCAGTCGAAAAGAAATTGAGGTTTTTGATGAAAACATTCAGAAACAACGCAGAGCACATAGACTGAAATAACAGAAAGTGTCACACTTTCAACAATGCAAAAAAATCATGCTCACCACACACAAAAATATAGAGGAATACATTTTTGAAACTATAAAAATTATCTTATTTGTAAAATAAAATCATCCAAAAACACAGAACAACCACAAAAATAAATTTGTAACACTGACACATTGAAAATGTACGCACACACACACACACAAATCTTAAGACTCCAACATTTCTCTTTATAACGTTGTTCAGGTTTGATTCTAATTATTATGTAATATTATTGAAAAACTAGTTTACACTATACTTTGACAAAAGTGTTTTATTTCTGTTATAATTGTGATTTTGTAATATTTACATATGAATCCAACTTGTGAAAAGATACCTTTGGTTAGCAAAACAAATAGCATATAGTGGAGCTCTATAACACGCATCTAGTGGTTAAAGTGATTTTTTTTTAAACTGCATTTTCCAAAAAATGGACAGAAATCTCACATTAAACCATGTAAAACAATCCATGTTATCAACATGAATGAAAATTTGAAATATGGGTCTTTTATAAATTGAATTTTACATAAAATGCTGGGGTTTTTTTTTAAAAAAAAAAGCCATTTAAATAAATATGTATTTATTTATAAAAATTTAAAAGATATCATAAATACTCCAAAAACTGCACAAATGTTGAGTAAAAACATTTAAAAAAATACTATTCTGTTACAAAAAGAAATGTTATTGTCTAGGGTCCAATAGACCCCCAAAACCACATGCGTGATTCCCAAACAAAGACCGTCAGAGGGTTAATTCCACAAATACTTCAACAAAATGACCAGAGTAAGAACCGAGTGTGTTCCACAACGTTTGTTTTATTATTCTGAACATAGACCCGGTGTGACATAATTCAACTTAATTTGATTATACGTCTTTAAAAAAAAAAAAAAAAGAAAGAAAGAAAAACATGAACAGGGAGGAGGAAAAAAAAGTTCTTAAGATGCATTACAGGGTGATTTCATTTGTGGCTCTGAAAATGTAGAGACCGTAAGAAAACTGCCACTACATATATTCATTTGCACGACAACTGCCTATTAGATTTTTGCTAACGAAGACTTTAATAAAAAGGTCATAGCCAACCGAAGCATAAATGAACAACAGCACAACAAACCCCGACCATTCGCTGGAATTTAATTCAATGATTAACTTTGTTAAGAGTACCTAAGGATTATAACAGTGCTTCTAACCTTATAATTACTTGGTGTTGTAATGAAAGCTACATAACAGCATGCCGTCGCAGTTGCAGGTGGAGTCGTAAAGCACTGTGGTTAAGCAAGGGCAAGCGTACAGCAAATCTTATTAACACAATCAGTGATCCTAATGAAAACACCCTACCTCAAACTCACTCGTAAATGATTTTCACAGTACGTCACCTCACGAAGTGTGCAAAACGTTCAGATAGATGAGCAATTCAAATGTGACGATCGCAACACACACTTATGTTTAGTTACCTTGCAGTGATATGAGGTCAATGGGAGTATAAAATTAATCTATCACTGTAGAAATAAGGCTGTGTCGTTCAAACGATGCAAAACAGCGCATCCCGTCCCTGAATGGCGAGGGTTTGCTGCTTTATTCGTACGGTAACACCTCAGCGTATTTCTGTGAGCGACTCGTGTACAAACAGAGTCTGACAGCAGGTTGGAGAGTCACATTTTAATGCACCCGACAGATCCTTGCGCACGGCTTGCTTTCAGAACAGAACAGAACAGAGCATCCGATTACAACACGCTGAAACAAATTGCGATTGTGTCAAATACAGACGTTAAAAATAAAAACCGAACAGAACAGAAGAGAAAGTCTACTAGAAGACTACAGGCACACTTTTAGGACCCTTAATTGGTTATTGTCAGTGAGGGGTTCAGACACACACACAAAAGAAAGTTCTTTAAACGTTAACTTAGCTGCTTTTTTATGTTTCTTTTTCCTTTTTTTTTTTAATAAGCATGCCATTGTTTATGCATCCTAATTTTTTTTCTTTAAGTTTTGGTGTCCCATTACTTTAACTTAAAATGAACAGATCTGTATAAACCTCACCTAGCATGCCTTCTTTCTGCGTCTATGCTGACAGGATTCACAGCTCATCAACAAAGCTTGTGGTCGATGTAAATGTAACTGGAAGAGAGAGATTTGTGCACTCTTGATTTCAAAACAGAACTGAACATGGTGCCACACAATAAGCATTTTCCTTTCTTTGCTTCTCAAGCTCGACTATTAGAAATGTCCAATTGTGCTCCTGCAGCGGAGACTGAGTGTGGAGTGAGCAATAGTTTTGTTTTTTTTCTTTTTCTGATGATTTACAAGACATTTCTAAGAGAGTAAGGTTTAAGACAGAGGGTCATAACAATCATTTACAATTAATTGCTGTACGTCTGTCCTTCCGGTGGTTGAGGAAGCTTCATATTCTCTTTGGACATCATAAGACGCCTTAGCTCTTGAAGAACGACTTTAATGCTATATGAGTTTTGCCATTTTGCTAGAATTGGTATGCTACGTGCATCCACCTGAAACAAAAAGAGACAGAAAGAAAGTGACATGCAGAGATGAGTTACATGATTTTAGATACAACCGAGTCAATTTGCATTGCACAAATCATGTCACAAAATTATTATTATTATTTTTTATTTTTTTGGGTTTAATACACATTAAAATCTGTCAACATTATTTGTGACAATTTCAATTTGTTTCTCAGTTATAAAAAAGAATGAATGATGGTTATAGTAACCCACAATAAAAATAAACTAGTCGGATGGTAAACATTGAATTGAATAGGCAGTTTTAAAAGATTTAAACATTGTACTTGTTGGTATTATATTTTGAGAATAACTTATATTGGTAGGGTTATTGTAAGTGTGATATTTGCATAATAAAAAAAACTGAAGGATGAGACAAAACTATTGTCAAAATATGGCACAAATGCAATCGATACAGCTCAAATCCAACCCGGAATGTGTCAATGGTCTTAGATGAGGTTTTCTTGAAAGGATAGTACAGTGATCTGTAAATATTTTTATTTACTCCATTTTTTATTGGTTTTCTCCAAGTGATAACATGTTTTTATATAATGACAAGAAGCCTAAAACACTTTATAAACGGCATATACCTGACACATTGGTTTGATACTGTAAATTTGGCCTTGCTCTGTTCTGTGATGCACGTTCGTGACTCTCCTGTTTTAACTCGTTCATCAAAATGAATGAATCTTTTTTCGTGTCATTTGGTTGATTCAACGAACGAAATGAACAAATTGACTCGTTCATTTTGATGAACGAGTTTGAACAGGAGAGTCACGAACGCGCATCGCAGAACAGAGCAAGGCGACCATTTGAGCTCATAAAACGTAAACTTTGTTATTTATTTTTTAAATGAGTGATCGTTTCGCTTGATCAGACCCTTATTCATCGTCTGGAATCGTTTAAAGCCCTTTGAACAGTTTGCACTGAAACTGTCTTTTGGACCTTGAACCGTTTGGTTCCCATTAAAGTGCATTATATGGAGAAAAATCCTGGAATGTTTTCATCAAAAACTTTAATTTCTTTTCGACTGAAGAAAGAAAGACATGGACATCTTGGATGATATGGGGGTGAGTAAATTATCAGCAAAAGTTTTTTTTTAAAGTGAACTACTCCTTTAGGGGATCGGAAAGACACTAATCAAACAGCTCATTAAAAATGATCAAGAAGGCCTAAATCTCCTGATGTGCCAGATGATTAAGTTTTATCATGACTATAAAGTTTAAGGGTAAGATGTGTCACTGGATGTATTGCCCCCTTAATCTAGCATCAGAAAACAAGCAACTTTGAGCAAAGGGTGAAATCTTCAGTTTGAAAAGATTTTTAGAGAAGTCATTTTTCCAATGCTTCCTTCTCATTTCAGCTGAAAACAGGCATCCTTATATAATTAGCTGCATGTGTTCGTTTTACTTTTATTTTATTTTTACTTTAATATAAAAGTACAAATATTATTTTAATTATTATTTTATTATTTTTAATATTATTTTTATATTATATTATTTTACCTAGAAGTATATTTAATATAAAAAGTGTTTCAACAAATTAGCTTGCAAAATTACAGCATTCTGGTCTGGGATTTAGTTGATCTTTGTGCAAACAGCACAAAGATCTTGATTCTACATCCAACAGACTATCGCATATTTGGACCGAACATTAAGAAAAACACACAGAAGAGAATTACTAAAATATATCAATCCTCTGTGGTGTAATAAACCGTTTAATTTACCGCGGCTGCTATTGTATTGTGTCTCCAGCTGAATCTCATTAAACATGTTTGAAATTCATTATTGGTTCTGCTTAGGCAGGCAAAGTGAAAAACGTCCCTCCTCTGCAGTACTGATGTGACTCGAGTGACTGTTTCCTGCATCAGTATGAAAATAACTGCGACGTCACATTTCTCTAGTTTGCAGTAAAATGATCACAAACATAACAGACAATATGCTGGTAAAATAACACACAAAATAGTCAGTTATAAAAATGAGTCAACTTACCATCCCATTGGAATTATTTATTCCATTCATGCTAATTTTTGTAACAAATCTAATATTCGGTGGTAATTCGGGATATTTAGGTCCACACTCCACTTTCAGGCTGTATATCCTGTTTTCGTAATTAGTCTGAGAAATGAGGAAAAAGTCAAAGGTTAAAGCCGAAATGTCAAACGGAACATGAAAGTGAGAGGATAACAAACATCAACTCAAAGAGAACAGACCTACACAACTCGAAAAAAAAAAAAATCACACTTCACGATGATGGACTACAGATGGAAACACATCTTAACTTATTTACCAATTTTATCCACTCAAAATTGCCTTTTAAAACTATTCAAAACTGAATAGTTTTAATGCAAAAAAATCCGTACCAATTCTGTTTAGCAAAATACTAGGCAAGGCTATATGTATTTCTTTCTTGTCAGTTTTACAATTATCTTTCTTTGAATAATAACACTATTATTATGGAGAATCTCATGAAGAAATGTTCCACCTCAAAATCAACACTAATTAAGTTTAATTATATTAATTAAGGTTATTTGCACAGTGACATTATGTTCATAATAAATCAGCATAATACTCATTACTGTAGAGTGAAAAAAACATTTTTTCATTAAAATCAGCATCAATTTGATTTATAACAATGTTTAATTGTTATAAACAATATAGCAATATAGATTTATATTTAAATATAGATATAGATTTATTTATATTAATGTTTCATTTAAGGAACATTTTTATATTTTATATCATTTTTCTATTTGATTTATGTAATGTTTCATTTAAGGAACTCGCTTTTTGAACTAGTTCAGTATAAAAAATTATATTATGTTGCAGATTCTGTCTTATATCACGTGGCTGTTTGGGTGATATGTGTGAAGCTGTTGTGTCTAATAAGCCCATGAGGGCTGGGCACCATAAAAGGTGTTTGACACGTAAATAAACAATTCAATCAATCAATCAAAAAAACAAAACAAAAAAAAAAACAACAAAAGTGCTTAATTGTCATGAAAGTAATGTCATTGCAAATAGTGCTAAAATATGATTTATTATCATTATGCAAAATGTATATTTTCTATAATTTACGAGTGAAATGTGACCTAGACAGCTTTCATTCAGCCGTTAAGCAAATTAAACAAAATCACAGTATACCAGAAACGGGCCACATTTCCAGCCCAATAAATAATGTTGCCAGTTCCAACAAATACATAAACCACTAAAGGTTTCTGCTGCAGTTCTGCTTTTCATGGCATGCATCTTTATCTTTAATCTACACCACCAGCTGTCATGCGTCAGGCTGGATAGTATGAAGGAATGCTGTTTACTTGTGTCCAAGATTTCAATCACGCTATAAAATAGTTTGTCATCAGAAACGCAAAAGAAGCCTGAATCGAGAGATATATCAACACAACATTTAAAGAATGTTATAATTTTGTCAGATGAGTCATCCATATTGTTGTCATTTAACATGGTTAGAGAGCAAACATACTCGTGCAGGTCCGATGATCATGCCCGTCCACCGCGTGAGAGTCATATCCTCATCATCCTCCAGACCCCAGCTCACTGTCCCATCACCGACACCCTTCTGTCCTTCCTCAAGCTCTTCCAACAAACGAAAATTGCGAGGGACTTTAACTCCTGCAAGAACGAGATTTGACGTGTTTAAAATATTTTAGAGTTGGAAAAATTTATTATAATTACACATGAAGTTTTTTTAGAGCTCATATTAATATCTCAATTATAAAATTCTTCACGTAAAAAGTAAAAACTGAATTGAAAGGGGTGGGATAGTGAGGTAAATCTTTACTTTAATTTCACAGTTCAGACAATTGCGTTTTCATTGAATATGAAATCAACGTATGTTTTATTCGTGGATGAGCAAAACCTCTTATTTGAGGTACATTTGATGTGTATTTGACGCACTGGCTGGGAAAACAATTCATTTAAATTCTTTTTCGAACAAAACAATGACTGTATGAGGGATCTCGCTGTCTTCAATCTTCATAAACAGAATAGAACTGAACGGCCTGATCAGCCAGAGAAAAAAATTATAATAATGTAACCAAGCACGTTTAATTGAACGTCACACAAAATCTGTACATTTACAAATATGACATGTTAATGAACTGCATTTCAACACTGATTAGCAATCTAGTGTTTACATACTCTAGCGCTGACAAGTGGAGGTACGAGATATGCAACGTCTTGTGAGAGTCTAAAGAAAAGACTAATCACTCATCCGTGAACAATTCAGGAAATGACAGCCATTCTCTATCACGGTTTCTCACTTCCTCAAAATCTCATGGCCAAGACGAGACTGAATAACTCAATATATTTCTTACCTTAAAATATGTGAACATACACATTTTAAACTTTACATGCATCTTATTCTGTGTCATGATATGGAACTGTGTGCAAACTAGCTTGTGCAAATCCTTTTCTTTACATATATAAACCCTAAAAATGTGATTTGATATTAATAAATGAGATCTGCTCTAATTTGCAGCTGCATACAATAGCAAACAATTATAATTGATTTCTCAAACTATCTGAGATTTAATGGGTTTAGAGGTTTCCTTTATAAAGATCTCCTCTGTATCAGCCCCTCATTAACTCTAAACGTCATGAAATGGCTTTACACGAGAGTATACACGAGTGTTATTTATATATATAACTTATATTACACAATCATTACGCACCTTTCCATATACGTATTATCTTTAAAATGTTTAAATGACTATGTGAGGCTGTTTTAACCTGCGCAGGTTCTGGTTTGACACATAAACATCAGTTAAAGGCCCGTTTTGTCAAGGCACTGGACGGAACCAGATGCAGCACGCGCGTGAATGCTCCGCCTCGCCTCACATTTGCACCGATACACCCGCCCAACTGCAACATACAGTACTTTATCAATGCTTCGGTACCATATCAGTGCACAATTATTATCGATGTGTGCCTATACTAATCATTAACTAACCATATAAAATAAATCTGATATGAATTATTTTTAAACTACAGGTCTGTTTGTGGGCCGTTAGCTCGATGCTAACACACACACATACATAGTTCAAACTGCACACAGGTCTGTTAAGTGAGGTAAATAAAGGCATTTGAGCACGGTAAACCTCTCGGATAATGCATATGAGATTGTGAAGCATGTCCTTGGCGTGTCAGGTTTTAAAAAACGGCCGCGGAAGACAGCGAGGATTGAGAAGATTGTGAGACTAACCTGAGGAGGCCGCCATCTTCTTCTGCCCGAATCCAAAAGCATACGAAAGCGTGACGTCGATGGTCACGTGACTAATGCGCGCAGTGCTGTAGTAGAAATGAGGGGTGTGGCTTCACTGCAAAGATTTCTTTAAAATATATATTTATATGACACTAGACTACAGCATTGTGAACAGTGTAACATATAAACGCAATTTAAGTGAAGTTTAAGTAATTTATTATGTCTTTAGGATATTGTAGATAATTGGTAACATGGTAATCCGTTTACCTCAGTCTCACATTATATACATTACATAAGATGGTTAAATTAATCAAGTTGACCATTAATTTTCATCCTGCAAGGCTTTCGGTTAATTTTATTGCCATTGTATAAATAATCCAGCTATATTTGATAACTCAATGCGATAATTCAATGCTTGACTTCCTGTGTGAGACTATATAGTTGTTTTTATAATGTCTATTTTTCTCACTATACACTGTAAGCTGTTTAGGTTTTACACCTTGTTTAAACCATTCTTTGAGGTTTTAACTTTACAAACACCAGTGGAAAGTCAATGCGACTGATTTAGGTCAGTGAATTGATGCTTAGCATGTTTATGCAAATAACAGCTATAAATCACACTCTTCTCTTGAACAACAAAACTCATTTATTGCATCCAGAAAGGCTCCATACATATGACTATTAACAACAATTGCTCTATAGAAAAAGAAAATAGGATAAGGCAAGAAACAATAGAAGAAACAGCAACCAGGCATAGTAAGCGTTCACAGAAGCCGAACAGTCTTTCCCGTGACGGTCAGATAGTCTTCATCAGCAAGCGCCCTGAGGGCCTCATCAAACATGTCCTTAGTAATGGCCTGAAATTAGAGGAAAACATTTTAAGTTAAGATTTATAGTTGGATTGTTTTATAGTATTATTAAAATAATAATTTAAAAAAGCATACCGCTTCTGACTGGCCACGAAGATCGTCAAACAACTGTTGGTACTTCATAGCTGGTGTTTTGCCCTTTGATTGGATGAGCTTCTTCAGGGCCTGAGCCACTTCCTCCTTGCGCTTGCGTGCTGTAGCACTCATACCTGTACAGAAACAACCAATCAAGATCATCAGACTCTCTAATTAGCATGACATTCACAGGTACTAGTTAGGAGATGATTGGTCAAAATGATCATATTTTTTTTTACAGAATATTGCAGAGCTTATTATTAATTATTTATCCATGCACATCATTATTATATACCGTGTTCTTCTCGTGACGTGTCTCAGAAGAGAGTGGGAATAAACATCATCCACAACTGACAGCAAACTTGCACTTTACAGTTTTACTCAGACATGCATCACAATAGAAAACTATTGCAACTTCCGTTTCATGCAGATTTTAAAAGGGTAATAGCAATAATTAGTATTTTTAGGGCTGTTAATTTAATGGGTTAACTTAGTTATGGAAAAAAAAAACGTTAAAATGATTAACGCATTTAAACCTACGCATGCCATCTAAGTTTGTGTAATATAATCTGTTGAATCAAATAAAATATATTGAATCAAATAAAATAAATTGAATCAAATAAAATAAAAAAAAAAATATATTTTTGTAACATATATTTAATGCTTTTCTCATTTAACACAATAACGACCTTAATTTATCTTTTGGTCAGCCAAATTTGACGTGCAATTAAGTAAATGCCACATTGTGTAATTAACTAAATTCCAATTTAAATTGTTTGACAGCCCTATATCTGTACAAGTATGACTAAATTATGAGACCATGTGACTCAACCTGACCAGTACAGACAGTTCTGTAACTCATACCTGTGGTGAGGATGGAGATATCCACGAATCCTGTCCTGGGATCAGTGGCGGACTGTTTCAGGGCCTCTCTGTGTAGTCTCTTGGCTTCCTCCACGTCGATGGTTTCGACTTTGCTTGAGAAACGAACTTTCGCGTGCGCTTCAGACAGTCTGATGAGCGACTCCAGCTGACGGGGGTACGCGGACACCATACCTCGACCGCTGCCGATCTTACGCATGTCTACATAGGCCTGCAAGGATCAAAATTAAAAATTGCAAACGTTAAATATCACATGTTACACTATACTACTGCAGGTGCCTTGCCCTATATTGTGTTTATATACCTCAATAAGGGCCTGACTAGCTTCCTCGTTGAGTCGGGGATGCACTGTTGTACGAGCAAAGGCGATGTAGTCTTTCAGCACGGCCATGTCCAGATGCTCCTCTTCAATCTGCTCTTCACTCTGATAATACAGAGACACGAGATGGTGCGCGAGACGTCTGTCATACGCCTCGTCCTGAGGGTCCAGCATTAGGAAGATCAAATCAAACCTAAGAACGAGAGTTTTTTTTAGAGTTTCAACACTGATAATATTAAGAAATGTTCCTTTAGCAGCAAATCAGCATATTAGAATGATTTCTGAAGGATCATGTGACACTGAAGACTGCTGAAAACTCAGCTTTGATCACAGGAATAAATTAAATTCCAAAATAAGTTACTTTTAATTGCAAAAATATCAGAATATTAGTGTTTTTACTGTATTTTTGATCGAATAAATGCAGCCTTGGTGAGCAAGAGACTTATTTTGAATGTAGACCATAATTAAATCTTATCTTGATGGATAAAACATTTCTCTCCCTACTTTAAATCCCACTCAGTTGATAGAAATACATAACATTATGGACATTAACTGTTGTAAACACCATCATGTTTTGTTTATACCTGGACAAAAGTGTGTGAGGCAGCTGGATGTTTTCTATAGTCGTCTTTTTAGGGTTCCACTGAGACTCCACCGGATTGGCTGCGGCGAGGATGGATGTCCGAGCATTAAGTTGGCAAATGATCCCAGCCTACGACACACAAAAACGTTATTTTCTGTCCCAACAAAATCATTCACAAGTTATTGCGTCAAGTTACCTTGGCAATAGAGAGCGTTTGCTGCTCCATGACCTCATGCAGCACAGATCTCGTGCTGTCGCTCATCTTATCGAACTCGTCGATGCAGCAGATGCCGTTGTCACTGAGCACGAGCGCTCCGGTCTGAAGAACCAGCTGCCGGGTTTCCGGGTCCTTCATCACATACGCTGTGAGGCCGACGGCGCTGGACCCTTTCCCGGACGTGTACTGCCCGCGAGGAACGAGGTTGTACACGTACTGGAGCAGCTGGGACTTACTGGTACCCGGATCGCCACAAAGCAGGATGTTGATCTCCGCGCGGAAGTTCCCGCGGCCCGTCTGAGTGAAGTCCTTACGGGTCCCACCGAATAACTGCAACAGGATGCCCTGAAAAAAAAAATGCCCACCATCAACTCACATCCTGAGACACGTTAAATGATATCAGTTGTAGGAAAGACGACGAGGCAGGCTTAAAGGATTAGTTCACTTTTGAAAAAACTTTTGCTGATAATTTCCTCACCCCCATGTCATCCAAGATGTCCATGTCTTTTGTTCTTCAGTCGAAAAGAAATTTAGGTTTTTGATGAAAACATTCCAGGATTTTTCTCCATATAATGGACTTCAATGGGAACCGGATGGTTCAAGGTCCAAAAGACAGTTAATAACAGTTTCAGATGCAGCTTCAAATGTCTTTAAACGATATCAGACGATGAATAAGGGTCTTATCATGCGAAACGATCGGTTATTTCAAAACTTATTCCAAAAATGTAACTTTTCTAAGGACAAATGCTAGCCTTGCTCTATTCTGTGAGGCGCGTTTGTCACGTATTACGTAATTACGTTCAAAAGGTCACGGGCGACGTAGCCGGAAGTACAGAGTCAGTGTTTACAAGTTGAACGCATAGGTTGAACGTGCAAACTAGCTCAAACACCGTTTACAAAAAAAGGAATTAAAAGGAAAAACAACGATGTCGGACGATTTTGATTCTGTACTTCCGGCTACGTCGCCCGTGACCTCTTGAACGTAATTACGTAATACGTGACGTTACAAACGCGCCTCACAGAATATAGCAAGGCTAGCATTTGTCCTTAGAAAAGTTACATTTTTGGAATAAGTTTTGAAATAACCGATCGTTTCGCATGATAAGACCCTCATTCATCGTCTGGTGTCGTTTAAAGACATTTGAAGCTGCATCTGAAACAGTTATTAAAGGGCATATTGCAGGTTAGAGGACCCAACGAGTCAATGCATAGAAAAACAATGTAGGAACTAGATTTTCTTTAAAATATACGTATAAACACGCCACAGAAGCTTCTGCAGTCGTTTTTGTGAGAAAATTTTACTTCCGCGTCTGAAAATGGGCGTGGCGGGCGTGACGCAATGAGCGGGAGAGCGGTCGATTCACACAACAGGAAAACAATGGATCGCATGACATTTCGGACGCTGAGGAAATACTCGTATGACGGATCAAGCCATAAAGTTATGAGCCTGCTATGCTAAAGAGATCAGGGACAGGCCAGGATAATGTCAGACAGAATGGTCAGAGAAAAATTGAGCTGTGATGTGAGGAGAACCAGTGGAGAACAGGACAGGTGCCTTTTAGGTGAGAGACGTACTTATAGTATACACGTTCGCTAACGATATACACTGTGCTCACAATATTGTACAGATTATTATGATCCTATAACAGGCCAGCAGACATTAGTATGTTTAGGGTAGATTTATATACTATTAAATGTATAAAAACTTTACTTGAGTATATTTCTATACTAAAAGCATAGGCTATACTCGGGTAAATTTTTAATACATATTTTCACCTTGGTTATAACATAAACAGAACATTAAAGGTTTGAGTATTTAAACAACCAATTTTGTTTTTCAATTACAAGTTTTATTTAGGGCATGACATGACTAAGTTACCTATATAACACTATTTGATGCCATTGGTAGTATACGACGATCAATATTCTTGCTTCGGCATACCATGTTGAACTCCATCATATTGCCGAGATGCTAATCATTTGATCTGAAGTGAACGCTACACACGACCGTGTTTTCCGAGCCGAGAGGAGAAATCCCGTCTCTTCACCTGCTCAAACCGCACCAGGAACGAAAGATAGGCTATATAGCACAGTCACTTTTATTGTAATGGAAACTTGTGGA